AGGGAGAGAGGATGGAGAAACAGAGAAAGAGAGAAAGAAAGGAAGAGAAAGAGAAAGAGAGAGTGAGTGAGAAAGGGAAGAAGAAGAGAGGAACACTGGCGAAGAAGAGAGCGCGGGTCCGGTGTAGCCGGCGGGCACACATCGGCTCCTCTCCCTCGCCAATCGGCGCGCGCGGCGTGGGGCGAGTTTGAGGTAGGGGGCCGCACGACGCACAGCGGTGGTGGCGGTGGCGTGCTGCGGCGGCGGCGGCGGCGGTGGCGGCGGCGCGGCTGCCAAGGTATTTAAGGTACCGTGAACCGGCGGCGCACGAGTAGTTCACTTCTGTTCGGTGCGGTGTCGCGGTGAATTTTCAGGGGACAGAAGAGAAAGAGGGAAGGAAAAACGGGAAGAGAAAGAAAAGGGACTGGGATACATACCTGATCGGTGGACAGTAATACGATACGCTCTGAAGCTCGCGCGCTCGCTTATGAGGGTTGCGAGTGAGGAGCGAGACAGACTCGACAGAATCGTTTCTCGGCTGTGCCCGTCCGCGGTCGCGAGAACCACCCCGTTCGCCGCGAGTCCGAGTTTCCAGTAAAACGGAGAAGCTGGACCATCGCCGCGCGCGCCAGTGCGACGAAACGATCCGCACCACACCAATCCGATTACACGATCGAGCCGTCCGCGCGCGATCCGCAGGGGAACACGTCGTTGGACAGGATCGCCGGAGTCGTCCGTCGTCGACGACCGTCCTGGATAGGTAAGTCTCGTCTCTAAACCGAGTGTGGATCCTATCTATACCGGTGGTCCCGGTAAACTGGGCGCAAGGGTGGACAATAGTGAGGCACGCACGCACAAGGTACGCACGTATGCACGCACGCACGCACGCTCGCTCGTTCACTCGCTGAGTACGATACTGGTGGATACCCAAGTGATCAAGATCAGTGATTCTGTTGCACTGTGCACCACGCTCGCGAAAGGGAGACACGCGACACGCGCGCGTTTTGCTCCGACCCTGTCTCGCCTCTTACGAGCCACCGCCAGTCCCCGTGGATTTTATGGACTGTGACTGTATGTGACTCGCCGCGGGATGTCGTCCCGATCTGAAAGTGTTCTCTCATCGATAACTACCGCCTGTGCAACGAGAGGCAGCCGGTACTGCCGGCCGCGAAACTGAGAAACGCTTAGTCCTCGATCGCCTGCGAATCATCCCGGAATTCCTCGGAACCCGCGGAAACCTCGGTCGTCTTCCATCGGGTCGCGTCTCCAGCGCGCTTCGATTCGTTCGGGTGCCACGGGATCGTCGGAGCCGGACGGTCGATCCCTTCGTGAGCATAGGAATCGCCGCGGGGGCGATCGTCGGACGTCTCACGCGATGATGAACCGGTCCGGCCACGAGGAACGGAGTCGAAGAGGCCCGAGCCTAAATAATTCGAGGCGGCGTCGATTACAATAGGTATGCGCGTCGACTTGCAGCCGCGAAGACCTAGCCGCAGCGTTTCATATAATCGAAGGACAGTGTCCGAATGCCAAGGACGGTACCGGTAACGACCGCGCTCGAAGATTCCTTCGTAGGCACAGGGAAAACGGGAGAGGAACGCGGGATAGAGTCTCGACCGCGGGAACGGACATTTATTCGAAAAGTTTCGGTGTGCTCGATTCGGGGCAACTGAACCGCGGCGCAAGTTATGCGCGGCATTCGATTCAAACGGAGTCCGATCGTTCCGAACAAAGGGCGAGCAGCCAGAAATTGTATCGATTTTCCCGTGACTGGCTCGGGCCGGAATATAAAGCAGGGCCCGCGCGCCGACGTAATGAGTCAGAAGGCATTTGGGTATCGGGGGCATAATAGATCAACTCGACCCGTCTGTAGAAAAATGTGAACCGGGCTCCGTGGACCCTTTTTGTGTCCACTAGCCGCGCTGCGAACGGTTCCTCCTTCCGCGGAGATGGGCGACCCGCTTGATCGAGCGTCGAACTCACGCGGCGAACCACGTTCGACGAGAACAATTTATAGTTGGACAAATACGGTAAAACTATGTTTATCTCGCGAAGGAATGGATGTAGAAATTGTTTTATAGGGTAATCGTCGCGATCACTGGTTGCCAAAAGTTGTCCAACTTATGATCGTCAAAACGCAATAAAAGACTTCACGCTACGAATAATTGCAACGAGCGAGGCTTTATTGTATATAATCGCCTGAGTCGGAATCCGCTCATTCGCCCAACGTTCCGCGTGAGCTTAGGTTTTCAAGAGTTTTCGATTTATCTCCTTCGCCAGCGAATCGGAAACGAGGCTCTGGGGAGCACAGAAAGAGAGAACGAATTTGTCACGGTCCAAGTAGCCGCGGAGAAGTTGCGATTGCATTACGTCCACGACCGCGGCGAGCGTGCGTGCGTGCGTGTATGTGTGCGGGAATCACCCTATTCGGCAGGAAACGCCGGCGTTTTCTAATCAACGGGCCGTCGTACACCTACGCGGCTTATGATCGCCACGACCAATTAATTATGCGACCGCTAATTATCGCGGCGAACCTAGTGTTTCTATTTCACGCGGCATGGAATTTCCATGGGCACGCCGCGAAGTCGATAACCCTGGTGTATTTCACCGGGAATCTTGTTAAGCGGCGGATAGGCGAGCGCAGGAGAGGCCGCCGGGACCGCCGGCGAGCGATTAACGGGGTGAGGTACCGTTGCGACGACAGAGAGCAGTCCGAGCGATGAACGTTCTTTCGTTCACACTGATTTCTGCGTTTCGGGCTTATCTCGTTCGGCTGATAACTGTAATTCAGAGGCACAATGTACAGGAAGCTTGGAATGGAAGGTGTTCTCATGAAGCTTCCTTATAAAGAAAATTAATTTCCAAGATAGATTCGAACATCTTAATTACAAGGAGATAGAGTTTTTATTAAGCCCGCGGCCTCATCCGTGAGAAACCGGTTCGGGAGCGCGATACGCCGGGGTTTTTTATCGAACTTTAATTTACATTAAATTTTCAAATAGAATCATTGAATCCGCGAATCCCGGGTACCTCTGTGCCAGATTGACTCGCCTTCATCTCGCCGGGAGGAATTATCCAACCGGCGAGCACCGCGAATCCTCCGATGGGTCGTTCCAGCGTTGGGATGATCACCGGCGGAAAGAGAACGCCTCGGATGAGACAGGTTCCGCGCCACCGTTACCGCCGCGCGCATTTGCATACGTATTTCCTTCATCGTCGGGTACAATACGCTGATTACCCCGCGTTTCTTGCTCGCTCACGGTTCACCCGGCTAATTGCTAATTACTAAACGCTAATTACCGAGACCGCGTTCGGGCCGCGTGTGCTTCACTCGGCGGACAGGAGGTAGGCTGCTCGTTAGACGCCGTTCGGCGACGAAAATGAAATAAAGTAATGGAGTGTAAGTAAGAAGCGATTCGAGGCACGCGAACCGCGGGCGATCACCGTGGAGAATCGATACCGCGAGGTAGGGGCGTCCGATTACGAACGCGGCCGCGGAAGGAAAGGATTTTTGCGTAACTCCTCGACGACGAGACAAGTAGAGCTAACTCGAACTTTGGAAGTCGGGAACGAAAGGAAGATTGAAGACACTTGGAAAAATCTTGTGGGTAGATTATCTTATTAGATTCATCTTATATTATTAGGCTTTATGAGTACTAATTATAGAAATTCTGATTTCTCCATTCATCTTAATGAAGTAAAGTTATTCTTTTTTATTTACTAAGGGTATATATTTGCACGTATATCCTGTTTTATAAGGTTAGCTCTGAATATCAACTTCGAGCACATTCCGTTCACTATAGAAAATTGATTTGCGAAATATAACTGATGGGAATAATTCAAATTATTCAATAATCAATTTCAACGGGCGTATTACAGTGAAAAATGAATATGAAATTTCCCCTGGTGTTTTATCGATCAGACGGAAACTAGTTCTTCGGGCCTAGAACAACAGAGCCATCTGCCATTAAAGTTCCAACAACCCGCGTGCAAATCGCGAGCGAATTTTTCTTCTCTCCCGTTAACTTTCGTCTCGGATGGCTTCGTTATCGCGGGCGGTTTGTTAGTTCGATTCCCGTGGGCTCTGAAAACGGTGTCGCACAACTTCTTGGCACGACACGCGATCAGCAATGGCGTGCATGGGATTCCCGGAGCCGCGGAGCTCGCGGTTCCTGAAAAGTTGCGCCGGTCCCTGGGCAAACGATGCATGCAGAGCCGATTAGCGTCGACTGCGGCCGATTTCGTGGATCGACGGACCGAAAATACACGACAGGCATTATCTCGCAGTGAAAGTACCAGCCGAGGATCGTTGGGCAAGACATTTCTTTTTCGTGGTGTTACATACGTGCGCTTCGCGTTCGGTTCCTCGCTCGAGCGGCCGTTCGGATCACGTAGGCCCACACGAAACGGTAAAAACCGAGAGATGACACGGATTCGGGTCGCGTGACCGCCGACGTTGACTTTTGTAGACGAAAAAGAGACTTCGTGTCCTCGTGCATTAAGTACTGCGATCTTTTAGTTGGAATTCCGTCAATTTTTATTCGATTCGATCGGTTGTTCAACGAAGGCAGATGTGGAATTTGATAGTATCGTGTATTGACATTGCGTGCTGGAATTTGCTATTAATGTCGGTTTAAAAACGGATTAATCTGGTTTTGTTTCTTATTTCGTGGTATCTTCCTTCCTATCTCCTTAACGGAGATAACGTTACGCCATCTTGCCGGCGAGTTTTGAATGCCTTCACGGAAGAACTCCGACGAACTCCGGTTTTGTCACGGTATTTGGATTCTTCCAGATGTGGAATCTTTCGGACAGAGACTTATGTTTTATGTTTCACTGATTTCGCTTTGATGGTGTATAATATTTTCATTAAAAACACTGAGTCCGCTTGATAGAATAAAATAACCCGTTTCAGATCTTTTATTCTGCAATTACCGAAACCATAAAATTATTTGACTCGTTTATTCCTGAGTGTGTCACAATAAAAGTGGCATAAAATATCGCGACGAATGTAATCGTGAGTTCTAAGAAACGAAAAACCAGTCACTTTCGCTGCTGCGTGCGTTTAACGTTAAATTTTACGCGACAGTGTTATTTGAATTACAATCGTTGTCTTCAGCTGTGAAATTGAAAATTGAATTTTATAATTATATTTAATTTTGCTAATGGCAAACATTATACAATGGCAGCATATTTTTATTCCATACTGTTTCATCGATTTACCTTTTAGAGCTATCGTTCTATCAATAGACGTCAACGAACGTTGCGCCTTTGTCACCTTTCGAGCGTCGGGGTATTTAAAACCTATCCAGTGTCAAAAGAGGCGGCTCGTCCCGTAACGTTTTCAAAAAGGAGAACTTCCTCGTCGGCCAGTGGCCTGGGCCGGTATTGGAAAAGAGCTATTAAAAATATCGAGCACGGAGCCTCGGCCCATCGACCCGTGAAATTCTGTATTCACCGTACCGGGGAAGCTCTAAAAGCCGATCAATTATTCATTCCCGGTAAACGTGGACGGTCGAAAATTCTAATGATTCTCTCGCGGATTTCCTCCTCAGTTTCGACGAATTTTCCGTGACCGGTAACCAGACACGTGACGAATATTTCTCTCCTTAATCGAGTCTTTCATTCATTAACTGACACTTTGTCCATGTTACTCACTTACTTCTACCGTTCACAAGTTTTAGTTCATTCGGTGAGAACATATCCCACAATGAAAAAGTATTTACAACCAAATATTTCAACCTTAACTTTTAATACTTC